AACTTATATCTTGTTTATAAAATATCTTCTATGTGTCATTAATTTATATCTTGTTTATAAAATACCTTCTATGTGTCATTAATTTATATATTGTTTATAAAATACCTTCTATGTATCATTAATTTATATCTTGTTTATAAAATACCTTCTGTGTGCATTAATTTATATCTTGTTTATAAAATACCTTCTATGTGTCATTAATTTATATCTTGTTTATAAAATACCTTCTATGTGTCATTAATTTATACCTTGTCTATTTATAATTAATTTGTAATATTCCATTTATTTATTACTAAGTTATAATATTCCTTTTATTTATGATTAATTTAAAATAATTTTCTATTCATCATAAACTCGTTTTGACATATATCTTTAGCTTATTTTTTGGATACATTTTAAACTGAATCAAATACTGGTATTCGTGGTTGATATTAGAGAAGTTCCTTAAAATCTGGTGGTTATCAAATTATCCCATAGAGTAAATAAACATTATTATCACATTGAGTAAATAAATATTACGAAGCGTAACTTGTGCAAGTTATGTTATTTTAGGTATAGGCATTTAGCTCATGTTATTTAGGCCTACTTCACACTTACTAAGCACTCGCATATTTTTTCTCGATTTACGAAAACTACCATAAAATCTATAAAACAGATGTGTTTGTAAGAGGGAACATACCTTCCATGTTACTCTGACTGTACATGAGTTCACTGGTACAGCCTCTACTTCGACAGGAGGACTGGTGGGAACTAAAAAACGTAAAAGTAAAATTTAGATGAAAACCTAAAACACAAGATGACAGTTTGAAAATATTATGTTGAACGTATATTAACAACTATTCTACACACATAACCCAAAACTGGTATAACCGTAGACAACATTAGTAAATGATTTGAAAAGGGTACACTAAATGAGCAAATAGCAACTGCCCAAGATCCGAACTAGTAAAGTCTTCAGTTTAAAAGTCAGTTAAGAAACACATACAACATTTTTCTACAAATCTTTAACCAGAGTTGTATAACCATGAAAAAAAAATCACTTGAAGATAACAGAATTTATAAATATATATATATATATATATATTATGACTTACTTTAACTTAGTTAAAAGGAACAACTGTTCTGTTCAAAATAATTTGTTAAGCAAACATAATGACAATTAAACTCAGTAGATTTAACAAATCTACTGATTTACCTTCCTCTTCTGTTGTAACTGACATATTAGCACTTGGCGAACTTCGTCCGATGGCATTTTCAGCAAATAAAGTGAATAGGTACGTTGTCATTGGATCAAGATCCCTGATAGTGACGTCTCTCTGGTCACCTTGGACTACTACTTCCAACGGTCTGTTTCCTGTTTCATCAATACGTTGAAGAATAAAGTTCTAATTACACTGGATTGTTAATACTATTATTAAACTGAACTTCGGCTTACACACAATTTGTCACTTTTGTCCTCGTTACCTGAATATATGCTATTTTGATATTCCTTATTCTCATATTTTTATGTCCTATCTGTATTTCACATAATAATTAGAATTACAGTTTTATATAATTAATATATAATTATTAAATTAGGATGTTTTTATCTTTTACTTTTTTCTCCGTAGAAATAATTATTGGTCGTTCCGTTCGCAAACTTATATACGTCATTACATTACACATGCTTATGAAAACAAACAAGCTCTTTAATTACCAGGTGGCGTTATTATTTGTATGACGTCACAGTGTTGTTACAAGCTTCAAGTAGGACAAAGAGATAAAAATAACACTGCTTTGTAAATCTGTTTTATAAATTCGTAAAATCCGTATATGAATAATTAATCAAAAATATTATATAATAAGCATAATAAAAAAATGAAACAGATATTTTTATAATCAAACATAAAAAATAATTTGCTAAAGTTTAGCATCTCGTTCAGGGTATAAACACTGTAATATATATTAAATGTATATGTGATGTATATTAGATATATATAGTGCTTATGTTTTAAACAATTAACGTACAATACCAGAAACCTTACCACCTTCCTTTTTGTAATTTATAATATACTTTTTGATTGGACTATTTCCAGATGCAGGCTCCTCCCACTCTAGGGTCACACTTCGCCCGTCGACCTTTCTCACTCTGATGTGTTTTGGGGAAGTTGGATGATCTAAGAAATAACAAAAACGACATATAGAATGAAATTAATTTAAAATAATACAATACGGAAATTCTGCATGTATATCATTGCGATCTATATTATGTCAGTTTTTTATTTTCCCTGTTTAACGTACAGATTTCTTCTCACTAGTAAATATATAGGATAAATTAGTTTGTATGTATATATAAAAAAAAAACACTTTCCGTACTGTAGCTGTACGACTTACTCATAGCACCATTAACTGTGGATTGGTTATTGTGTCATTCATTATCTTTAGTATCTGATCCTGTTAGTTTGTATCTTCTTGTTGGAGAGTGAAAAGGGACCAATTGGTCCTTCAAGACTGTCCTTGAAATAAGTAAAAATTTAAACGCATTATTTTTTTCCATATAACCATCGATTTCTCTCTTCCACTCTTTGCAAGTTCCTATTTTCATTACTTCCTAGTGCAACTGATTTCCATAAACCAATCATCCCGTTAGAAAATAAAACTGTCTTAAATGGATTCTAGCCTGTCTTTTCCAATTTTTACATGTGTGTCCTCTCATCTTACTGGCTTCATAACACAACACAAAAAAACAAGAGGCTTTTACCCAATCGATTCCGTGGATAACCTTATAAATATAAATAAGATCACTTCTTACCATTCAAGATAAAATAAGTTAAGACATATTAACCAATCCCCATAAGAACTCCATCCCTGGGTTTCAGTTCAGTAGCTCTCCTCTGAACCCTTTCCAGAAATTAAATGTATTTTTTTAGGTTGAAAAAGGAGATCAAGTCTGTACACATGATTCCAAGGGAGGCATAACTAGTGATTTTTATATAAAGGTAATTATGTCTTTTAACTTGTAATAGGTATGTTTATAAATAAACCTACTACCAGTAAAAAACTGGCCTGAGTGCCTTTGCTACCACTATGCCAAAATCACCTTTTTTTCAGTAACTGTATTGAGTGGATTCCTATTTATATTAAACTCGTGATCAAAATTATAATAACCTCAATATATTACCTTTCATTTAGTATAATTAAAAGTCATTTGCCAAATAACTGTCTATGTTACATATTATCCAATTCATTCTGAAATATCCCAACGTCTTCAATACAGTTAGAAATATTCAAGAGTTTAAGACTATCAGAAAAACTTTACTAATTTACTATGTACACCCTATAAATATCATTAATGTAAATAATAAAAAGGAAAGATCCGAGCCCTAATCCCTGAGGCTCTTTACTAGTAACAAGAGTCCAGTTTGACAAACATCTTCCTTTTTCTCATCCATCCACTCTATTTACTATTAACTATTTGTTCCTAAACCCCACTGATGTGATATTTTAGCTATTCCTTCGTGTGGGACATTATTAAAAGCTTGTTGAAAAGCTAAGTAAACTAAGTCCACATTTTTTCCATTGTTCAAATAACAAACATCATCCTAGGGAAAAAAGGCTTAAAATGATGCTTGGTAATGCAAGATTTCCCTTGAATAAATCCATGTTGGTCTTCATTTTTAATATACTTTAATAAATGAATTTGAAAGTTGTTTTTTTTTTTCTATCAGAATCTATAGACTATTTCCCATTGGAGAAGTAAGACTAACTGGCCACTAATCTATAGGGTAACTCTTATTATCTCTTTAAGAGTAAAATTAACATTAGAAACTCTCCAATCCATAGCCACCTGCCCAGTGTTTACTGATCTACCAAAAACGAAAAAGGTTCGCATAAATTATCTTTGACCTCCTTTATAACCCTGCGGAAAACCTTTTCTGGTCTTGGCACTTTATCTAGTTTCAATCTCCAAAATTTTCTATTTTTACCAGGGAATTGATATTTAAATGATTCAGGTGAATTACAGTATTTCTCACAGAAATTAAGTGGCCTATAAATAATTGTTAATCAAAAACTTTCTACCACTGAAACTCATGATTGTAACCCTCATAGATTCAACCTCTTGACTGTCATTTTTATGTCTTTTACACCAACAGGATACAGTTAAATTTTTATATAAAAAACACCCCATCTCCTCCTTTAAAACGTTTAACACCACTAGATGACATATAACACAGAATTCTGATATAATCCCTACTATCAGTGTTCTTCAAATCTAACTAAATCTCACCTATTCCCATCGTTATCTTTCTTTTCAACTAGAGCTCTTATCTGATCCATTTTCTTCTTAACACTCCTAACATTAGAATAATGGCAACAAAGCTTATTCTTGAACATACTATGTTTATCTTTAAATTGGACAAACTAGTATTTAACTTGTTAAGTTGTAAATCTTCTGTTTGAAATCTCTTCGCCCTCCCTATACTACTACTTCGTTTATTATGTTTCGCAACCTCACCACTAGGCAAGTTTAGATTAGATTATCTTTAATTAACATATTTGGAGCTTCCACAAATATCCCTAGTCTATTGAAGAAAAGCTCACCTCTGACTCACACGATTCATTCTCACCATAAAAACCATCCCACAGGTCCAAACAGCCCATCTGTTGGTACCTGATAACTTTTAATAACTTTGGATCCTGCCAAGTAGGTCTTTCCTGCACCTAGCCCAAGGGAGCACTCCCAAAGTGAAAACACCTATTTCTTTCCCTAGACTTTTACAAAAGTTCTTAGTACTTTCTATGCAACTCATCTGATTTACAGTTTACAACATCATATGTTCCTTCATACATTACAATCAACTCTTCTGATTTACAGTTTACAACATCATTTGCTTCTTCATACACTACAAGCAGCTCTTCTGATTTACAGTTTACAATATCATTCGTTCCTTCATACATTACAATCAACTCTTCTGATTTACAGTTTACAACATCATATGTTCCTTCATACATTACAATCAACTCTTCTGATTTACAGTTTACAACATCATATGTTCCATCATACATTACAATCAGCTCTTTTGATTTACAGCTTACAACATCATTCGTTCCTTCACACACTACAAGCAGCTCTTCTGATTTACAGCTTACAATATCATTCGTTCCTTCATGCACTACAAAAAGAGAATGTTCCTTGGTACCAACAATTAAAACTGTCAGCACGCTATTACGTCCTTTATTTTAAAACCTGCCAACAAAACAAATTCCAGCTCTAGTCTTCCTATGCTTTCTACAACAAATAACACGTTAAATGACCTATCTTTTAATCTCCTAACTCCAGTAATCAATCTTACTTCCACCCCTTCATAGCAACCTATACCCTAACTCTATCAATATCCCATCTTGCTTTCTGCTCCTAATTGATTACCGCCCCCCTCTAATAGCATAGTCTTCCCCACAGCTATGTTATCCTCAAATAAGGAAGCTCCACAATTGTAGTTTACTGTATCTTGCTCGGCCTCCTAATTGGTTACCGCCCCCTCTAATAGCACAGTCTTCCCCACAGCTATGTTATCCTCAAATAAGGAAGCTCCACAATTGTAGTTTACTGTATCTTGCTTTCTGCTCCTAATTGGCTACCACCCCCTCTAATAGCAGTCTTCCCCACAGCTATGTTATCCTCAAATAAGGAAGCTCCACAATTGTAGTTTACTGTATCTTGCTCGACCTTCTGAAATTGCAATCAAATCCACAATTCCCAAACATAATGAAATCATGGCACCTATCGCACTATATAACTTCTACCCCACTTGTTCCTGAACAACCTTTAAAAGTACTAATTTTGATACACTATTACCAATATACCTACCTAATAATTGTATATTTAACTTAAAATTAAAACTATTTCACAGTTAGTATATAAAACCGAAGATACATCTAACGATAAATTCCTTATTAACTAATACTGATACCATTAATTAGTAGTACCACAGTTACGATGTAAACCCCGCTCCCCCCCCGGTGGCTCAGCGGTAAGTCTAAGGGTTTATGACGCTAAAAATCGGGTTTCGATACCCGCAGTGCGCAGTGAAAAAATTGCCCATTGTGTAATTTTGGCTACAAAACAAACAAACAAACATTAGTCAGTACAAATTACTAATTTAAATACTAGAACTCAGCAAATAATAATAGAAACAATAATATCAGCTTTAAACATAAATAAATTCAACTTATTACTTATGCAACACTCGTAACAATTCTTTATTTCTATCTAATATTTAATAACTGTAGACTGATAAGATATAAATAATCTAGTACTACTTTAAAAAAAGGTCAAATTTCACCCAAGCCAAAATGACGCATTTGATACTGTTCTGAACTTCGGATGAGAATGATGTCATATTCCCCGTGGATGGAACGCTAGTTCATCTCAGGTTAATCCCCATTTAACAGCTGGGTAAAGAGAAACAACTGACGTGAAGTGTCTTTTTCAAGAATACAACAATACTACGCGAGCCAGTGTTCAACTTACAACCATCCAACTACGAGTCAAGAGTACAAAGACAATGAGCCACGCTGTTCCCTAGTCCTACTATCCCACCATCTAAAAACACCAGTATTACTTAACGATCTAGAATTAAGCTTAATGTTGTGTTTTACATTGATTGAAAATACCCCTCGATGTTTTATTCATGACCTACCTAGTACCAGTAACTGGACGTTAGTCTCGTCTTTACCCCAGCTGTTCTGGACCTCACAGGTGTACATCCCTGTATCTCTGCTTTCAGCAGACAAGATGGTTAGTTCAGACTTGGTGACGTCATTAAGCATTGTGTTCTTGATCCGATATCTACAAATGTGTAAAAAACATAATTAAAAATGTTATTCTTATAGTGATTTTTTATTAAGCCAAAATGTATTTAGACAATTATACAATGTAAGACCTCATTTTAAGACAAGTCAAGTTTTAACAAATGTTTTGTGTGTGTGTGTGAAATACTAGCTCAAAATATTTCATCGAATTAATGGAAAGGTTAAGTGTCACCTTGGGGCAGGTAAAGTTTGGTAATAAGAGATTATATACCAAAGGTCAAATTGTACTGCATATCTGTAATGGACAATACTGATAATATTTTTTTACAAGAAAGAGTGAGTAAGGATTAGTTTGACTCATGATGTCGTAAGTTCTCCCCAGCAGGCCTAGGCCGTAAGAGCAATAGCAGGAAATATACTAAACTCTTAACAGATTTGCGATGCCTTAAACACGGACCAACTCAAGGTCATACCGCCATGTAAGTAAACTAAAAATAAAATAACGAATCTGAGTGATAAGTGCCTTGATAGAAGGAGAAATCATTTAAAAAGAAAGCAAAGACAACAGTGTGACGCTAGGTCATGTACACTTGTGTACAGTTAATTGTGTGACGCTAGGTCACGTAAAGTTGTGTACATTTAACCGTGTGACGCTAGGTCATGTACATCTACGTACATTTAACCGTGTGACGCTAGGTCATGTACACTTGTGTACAGTTAATTGTGTGACGCTAGGTCATGTACACTTGTGTACAATTAACCGTGTGACGCTAGGTCATGTACACCTATGTACATTTAACCGTGTGACGCTAGGTCATGTACATCTACGTACATTCAACCATGTGACGCTAGGTCATGTACACCTATATACATTTAACCGTGTGACGCTAGGTCATGTACACTTATGTACAGTTAATTGTGTGACGTTAGATCATGTACACCTGTGTACATTTAACCTAGGTGTACATGACCTAGCGTCACACCGTACATTCAACCTGTGACCCTAAATCATGAACACGTTAGTATATTCAACCGTGTGAAACTAAGTCATGTACATCCACTTACATAAAACCGTGTGAACCGAAGTTGGGTACACCCTCATATATGGCCGTACATGATACACACCTATGTATGTTAAACCGTGACCGATGATACTCACCTATGTATATTAAACCCTATGGTCATACATGATACACACCTATGTATGTTAAACCCTATAGCCGTACATCATGTACACCTATGTATGTTAAATCCTGTGGCCGTACATCATACACACCTATGTATGCTAAACCCTGTGGCCATGCATCATATACACCTATGCCGTTCAACCCCTGGGACTTTAACTAGGTCAGAATGTCACCTAAGTACGTTCAACCATGTGACCTTACAGCATGATCACCTATATATATGTGAAACCTGTGACCTTAGTTTTAAATCATACCTACCTAAGAAAGGTCTGTACGTCCAATACTGTAATCTTACATCATGTATATCTACGTTCGTTCAACCCTGTATATCAACCCTGTGACCTTAAGATTTCCATACACAAGCACGTTCAATTAGAGTGAAATATTTTCTACTTTAATTGATAAAATGTTTAAATTAATTTATCATGCACTCATTCTTCACCTACTTCCTCTTCACAAATTGAATGGTAATTGAAATGTCTGTGACTGTAAATAGATTCGAAGATTTAAGTAAAATGTGTCTACAAAACAGATTGTTTAAGGCTTTCATATCTTTTTTTGTTAACAACACAATTGTTATATTAATCGAGCAACTGATACAGAAACTTCTGGAACATTTTTTAACGTAACATAGTATGACTCAACAGATTATCATTGTAGTAAGTCTCTTTTTTTAATTATTTAAAAACATAGAACTCGTGCAGTTACAAATAAAGTTTTTTGTGTATACTCGATGAGAGTATGAGCTTTTTCGGGGTTTAAAACATTGTGTCGAGATATTGAATTTCATCTCGAGTTGTTAGTGAGGCACCGCGTTTGTTTGAACTAGTACAAGAGATACAATAGGACACCTTACCTTCTCTTATCATCAGTATTAAATCCTTGGTTATCTTTGGACCAACTGAAGGTCAGTGGATTATCCCCTCTAGCTTCACACGCAATGGTTGTAGGTTTTTTTGCCACTGTTGTCTCGGAAGAAAATTTTGTTTTAAAGTGCGCAGGTACTACAAAAAAAAAAAAAATCTGACGATGAACATTCGTTTCCAAAATAAAGATCCCAAAATTATATATTAAACTAGAAATATTATTGATCAACAAGTGTTTTTAGCGTAACTGTGTTTGCCAATTTAGTAAATTTAAGTTGTTAAACCTGCTGCTACCAACGGGTGTTAACCTGATGCAAATAAATCCGCTATCAACAGGTGTAGTTCATCAAAGAGTTAAACTGGCTGTTATCAATAGGAGTTAGTTTGTTTCAGAGTTAAATCTACTGTATGAAAAGCTGCAAGCTTGTTTGAGAGTTAAACCTGCTTTATAAACAGGTGTTAGCTTGTTCATAGTTAAGCCTGCTCCTGTCAACAGGTGTAAGCTTGTTTCCGAGTTAAATCTGCTCCTATTAACAGATGTTAGCTTGTTGCAAAGTTAAATATTCTGCTATCAACAGGAGTTGGCTTGTTTCAGAGTTACATCTGCTGTATAAAGAGGTGCAAACTTTTTGTAGAATTAAATCGACTGCTATCAATAAGTGTGAGCTTGTTGTAGAGTTAAAACTGCTCCTATAACCAGGTGTAAACTTTGTAGAATTAAATCGACTGTTAATCAATAAGTGTAAGCTTGTTGTAGAGTTAAAACTGCTCCTATAAACAGGTGTAAACTTTGTAGAATTAAATCGACTGCTATCAATGATTGTAAGCTTGTTGTAGAGTTAAATCTGCTCCTATAAACAGGTGTAAACTTTGTAGAATTAAATCGACTGCTATCAATGATTGTAAGCTTGTTGTAGAGTTAAATCTGCTGCTGTGAACAGATGTTATCTTGTCGAAGAGTATTCTTGGTATTCTGAGGTTCGAGTTAAGCCTTACACTCCGAGGTTTGCTGTTTTAACCACAGAGCTGAACTTCTTCCTGCTTTTTATATTTTGTAGCTGTGTTTACGTCGTTTTAGTCAAGGAACTGGGCTGCTGTGCTCTGTTTTCTTAAACTTTGCAATTTGTATCTAAGTTAAAGAGTTGTTCTTTGCTAGTGAGATACGAAATAGTTCGTTTAGCCAGCTTTTTTTCTAATACGTCTCCTGACCTATTTAACCATTTTTTATTGTGTATCAGTAACAAAAATGAAGAATGCTTGAAACCAATTGACAATAATACCTTACAATAATTATTCCTGGAAGACTGGTCACCTACGATTTATATATTTTTCCATAATATTCACTAATAATATGATTCAATTAATAAAAACTTGAAAACCGTCGTGTTCTGCTTTTTTTCTCTACTAATTACAAGACTTCTTCCAATATTAACATTTCTTCATCGTTATCAGAATATTTAAAGGAATGTTACATTAGTTATACAGAAGGTTCAGACTGACCACTATAAATGTAGATGTGCCATGATGTACATGTAAAATTATTACCACACTGATCTTTTATTTAAACAAGATACTGACCATGAACGTCTAGCCTGACTACTGTACTGATGGGTGAACCAACACCATTGCTGGCCTCGCACAAGTATCTTCCTCTATCATCTTCATGTATGTCTCTAATGACCAAAGTCCCATTCACCAAAACCTGGACACGAGCACCGCTGATCACAGTATTGAACTTTATGGTGGCGTCATCTTGTGTCGAAAAAGATATTTCACAACAATTTTAAGTTGCTGGCTAGTATTAAATAAATAACATTTTTGTGTAATTCTAGTGCTGGGTAAACATTAATTTCTGCAAATAATGTATAACTTTCGCAATAACAGTGGCAATATACACACACGCTAAATACCTGTTTGTAAGACTGACTGTGATAAGAAAAAATTATCTCTGTGTTATATTAAAATATAGCTTTATAACTACAGTAAAATATTGTCATGATATAAGTGCATATACACTGTTAGAAAACATTAAAAGTTTCTTGAACGGGCTTTATCCAGTGGCAAGTTTCTACAGACACGTGTACTTTTCACACTTGTTTTAAACCATTAATAATCTTATTTCTCTTGAATTAACTGCAATGAAATACTAGTAAGGTGCTCATATCATCCATAAAAAATCTTTACAAATTTAAACATGGTTAAAACTGAAAAACAAAAAGAAGAAAAGAAAATGCATTAAAATGAGGGAAATGAGTAGAAGTAGTCTATTGTTAAGTTTCTAAAAATAGTGGCGCATTTTTGAAACCTATATAAACATTTGTTAACACGTGCCAGTGAAAAATATTGTTCGAGTGTCTGAAAGACAAAAAATTTATTTCGTTTATAAGTACACAGGTCATATTTTGTATGGGGTCATTTTTAGTGGATAGTCTTTTATATGAGATCGGGACATGTTAGATGGTTTTCTATATGGCTCCAGACAATGGTAGACAAAATTTTTAGATAGGAGCTTATCAAGATACTATCTGTTAGGTAAGGAGGGATGATAATAGCCTGTCTTTTTAGGTCGGCCTCATGACAGTAGCCTGTATTTTTAGGTGAGGACTGATGATAGTAGCCTGTATTTTTAGGTGGGCCTCATCGTAGTAGCCTATATTTTTAGTTGGGCCTGATGATAGTTGCCGAACTTTTATGTGGGGACTAATAATAGTAGTCTATATTCTTAGGTGGGGCCTGATGATAGTAGCCTGCATTTTTAGGTGGGGACTGATGATAGTAGCTTGTATTTTTAGATGAGGCCTGGTGATAGTAGCTTGTATTTTTAGATGGGACGTAATGATAGTAGCTTGTATTTCTAGATGGGGTCAGATCATGATATGTTTTTCATTCAAATCACATTAGACTGGTTTTGGTTGGCACAAAATCATGATACATTGTTTCAGGCAGTTACAGAAAACTATAAATAACAATTATGATATATCCAGAGCTGAACTTATCTTGAATCGTTGCCTGTTTATACCTACCAGTCGACTTTTTCCACACAATACGTGGTTCCGGTTTTCCGGAAGCTTGGCAGTCTAAACTTACAACACTTCCGGTGAGGGCCGAGGTGTCAAGAGGCTCCAACTTCCATCTTGATGGTGCTGAGTTGAATGATAAATAATAATAATAGATATTTAAATAATTTCAAAACATAAATGTGTTGAAATTTTAAAACTTTATAAAAATAAATTAGAAATATGCGATTACAAATAATTATTTTGTGCTCATGGCGCCCGCAGAAAGGGGCAAGGGGGGGTCACTTGAACCCCTCCCTGGATTTTCAAAAATAAAAAAAGTTACTAGATATGTAAAATTATTCTTTGTGTTATTGGGAAATCATCAGGTGTTTGTATTTCGATTTCATATTTTTTTTCAAACTTGAGTTACTTGACCCCCCTAATGTTTTTTTTTTCTGCGGGCGCCCTTGCTTGTGCTGTTTGTAGATGAATCAATGACTGTTAACAATTCCTCTCAAATTAAACGAAAATAATTCTCTAAGACGCCGATAATTTCTCGGAAGATCACAATAACTAGAGAGTAGTGCCAGATATGTTCAACATTAACCTTTTTAGTTATTGATTATAATCAAATCCAACAAAGCTCTTTAACTATAGAGCAGGGCCAGATATGTTCATCATTAACCTTTTGAGTTATTGATAATAATCAAATCCAAGAAGGCTCTTTAACTAGAGAGCAGGGCCAGATATGTTCATCATTAACCTTTTTAGTTATTGATAAAAATCAAATCCAAGAAGGCTCTTTAACTAGAGAGTAGGGCCGGATATGTTCATCATTAACTTTTTTAGTTATTGATAATAATCAAATCCAACAAGGCTCTTTCCTCAAACTTTATATTACTTGCTCATTTGTAAAGAATCAATCGACTGTTAAGTGCAATAAGTGGAAAAAATCAATGAATGTAAAAGATGTTTTCCAAGATGTGTATCATGCCTAAAAAATTGCCACTAGCTTGTACTAAACATAAATAATGTGGTTTCAAAAGTCTTTAAAACATTAAAAATTAAACTGTAAAGCACTGTTCAATATTTTTGTAAAATCTCTTACAAAACACTGAACAGACAAAATATTTCTAGTCGGTTATGGGTGTAAGGAGACCAATTTGTGTTTCTATGTTTTTATGTGCGCATGATCTTTAAAAAAAACAATGTCGATAATAATAATAATCAACGTAAAAATAATAATTGACGAATAATGTAGTGATCGATTAACTTTATTCGTAAAATATAAGATTATGTGGACAGTAACTATTCTGAAACTTGAGCAACTTACAGTTGACTGTTAGAGGGACAGAAAAGTTGACTGAAGCAGCTGAGTTAGAAGCTACGCAAGTGTACAGCCCACTGTGTTCAGATCGGAGACTTTTGATCGTCAGCGTTGAAATGAATTTGTCGTTTGGACCCAAGGTGACACTATCGTCATCGTCTCGAAGTAGTTCTCCGTCTTTCCACCAGGTGATTTGGATGGGCGGATCACCTTCCTGTACGCTGCACATAACGCTGGCTCGAATTCCCTCTCGTGGCTCAGGTGGGAAGGAGAAAGGCGAGATCACCGGTGGTACTAAAAGGAAGTATGATTAAAAGTTAAATTACGGTGTAATTTTTCACTTAAGTACATATCACTTAGGTAAAGTATCCGAGAATGATGAATATAAACCACATACGTATCGTTTTTCATTGTTTTTTTAATATTATAAATATAGCAGATCATATTATTAAGCTATAATGGGCCTGAATATAAAAACAAAACATATCCATTCATTTTTCGTCTAAATAAATTATCTTGAACGATGTGATGATAATGAGAAGAAACTGTGGCTTTAAAGAACTGAAATCAACTCGACGGCACACAATAACGTTTACCAGAAAGATATGAGATCACACAACCCGACGTTTATAAATATAATAACGACTTAACTTGATATAATATCAATAATAAACCAGTTATTTAACAAGCGATTGAAATAAAAACAGACTTACAGAATTTGAGTTTACTATCTTACTCCGTACCTAAGACTTTGATACTGACTTCCCGTTGGGCAAAGTGATTCTTCATATCTTTGGCAACACAGCGGTATGTTCCTTCATCTTCAAACCGTCCTACTTTACGTATGATGAGAGTACCGTTTGGAAAAACAAAGTGACGACGTCCTAGAGGGAGCTGTTTGCTACCTAGAGAAGGAAAGGAAACCCTATGTAATGTAGACCAACAATGAAGTGTAACTTCACATTTCTTAGCCTAGTCACCTACAAAATGGAACGAGTTATTGAGGTTAGGAATACATTTCTGGATTGATAAACTATCAAAGCGACAAACTATGTTATTAAACACAAAAAAAAATTCACTAGAATTATACACAGTTTACTCCTATTTTTGCGGTGTCGCTTTCACGCACTTTATCACCTAGAAGGGTGTGCTTGTTGTTTGTTTGTAATTAAGCACAAAGCTACACAATGGGCTATCTGTGCTCTGCCAACCACGGGTATCGAAACCCAGATTCTAGCGTTGTAAGTCCGCAGACATACCGCTGTGCCACTGGGGGGGGGGGGGGGCAAAGGGTGTGCAAACGAATAACTGTATTTCAATTTCTTTACCAGGAGATAATAATATTGCGGGTACATACATATATATAGATAGGAATGTTGCGCATTCGACATCATTTAAAAAGTTACGCTTATTTGTTTTATTTCACCACATATAAATTTCATAGGCGACTGCCATATTTTCACTATTATAGCTAAAGATCGACAAGGACAGTCAGCAGCTTATTACTAAGAGAGAAAAAAAAAAGCCTTTTTTAATATAAAGACGTTGAAATAATTTCAGTTCAATCAAGAGTTTTATAAACTGATGAACTTTCTTTTTCTTTTTTGTTTACCTGTATTTTTTTAAATCTTGTTTGTTTTAAGCCCAAAGATACAAATAAGGGTATTTATACTCTGCCCATTATGGGTACTGAAACCTGATTTTTTGTATTTTAAGCCCACAGACTTATCGCCGAGCGATCGGGAGGAGGACATTTTCTAGGTAAACTGTTCATACTGTTCAAAAAAAAAAAAGACTCTACTGCACCTTTTTCCCAGTATATTTGTTGAATTGGATATCCAGCAACCGGACAATGCATAATTACAACTCGTCCTCCTATAACTGTCCTGTTTCTCATTGGGCGAACAAAAGGATGGCCAAACACATTTAGTGGGGTCACGTGACTTCTTATTCCATTACTATTGGCTGCTGAACACCGATAGATTCCACCATCCTCAATCTCGATTCGAGTGATATTAACGAAACTGATTACAGCACCTTCTTTACTAACGTAATCTCCTGTCCTGATTCTGTTATTATCAGGCACAGGTTCGCCATATGAGGTCCACGTAATTTGGGGTAGTGGGTTTCCTACTGCAGCACACTTGAGAGATACTCTCGAGCCAGGTTTTACCGTCATTTCTTCAAATGTGGTGATTAAAATAGGAGGTTTTGCTGTCAAGAGTCCATGTAAAGTATTTTCAAATATACGTACAAACAGAGGTCTTGTTCTACACAATTTAAAAGTAATACAATCAAAGCAAAAGAAAAACGCAGAATCAAAATAAATCTACGTAGGTGTGCAAAACTTAAGTTTTATTTTATATTTATAACTATTTGTCCACTAGTTACTAAGTTAACTGACAGGACAAAAAAAATACAGCTACTCACTGTAAACATTGGGCTCTCAACATGACAGCTATTTACTGTAAGCATTAAGCTATTATATATATATATATGTACATTAACACAAATATCGTAAAACAAAATAACAAAATGGTATAAAATTATTATTTGACCAAGAGCGAGAAGGAAATTATAAATCAATGGTGGGAAATTCAAGCTGAACATTAAGAAATGTGATGAGTATGTTTTAGCTTTTATCTATAGTTTTATATCCAATATGTATTAAACCGTCAACATGATTTCATCAAATAGCAGTAAGTTTCACCTACACAACACTTTTAACTCAGCTGTGTCTTGAACTGTTTCTTGGTTATTTGTAACAAAACATTGGTACATTCCTTGATCTTCTTGACGAGTTGGACTAATATGAACAACATCTTGACTTGGTAGAGTAATTCTCATATTGGTTGACAGAGGACGCTGGTTCTTCAGCCACGTTACACGTTCTATGGGAAAACCACTGATAGTGCAGTTCACAGTGAATGAACCACCAACATTAATTTTTTGAACTTTCGGCATCACGGTGACCTTCAAAGGCTCTGTAAATTAAAACGAACAATTAAAAAACATTCATCAAATGGAATTAGGCGGCTCTTTGTTACGTTGTTATTATCTGGTATTTTAAAATATTCCCCTCCAGTGGCACAGCGGTATGTCTGCGGACTTACAACGCTAGAAACCGGGTTTCGATACCCGGTTTGGGAAAGCACAAATAGCCCAATGTTTAGCTATATGTTTAACTACAAACAAACAAATAAAGTTGAAATATATATATATATATATATAATTTTAAGGAACAGGTCAAAACAAAACTTTCGGATCCAACACTAATGATCTTCTTTCAAGTTGGTATATAATATATATCAGTTGGTATATCAGTTCACTCGACAGTCAAAACAATCCCAATCAGGTCAGACCTTCTGAAGTTTCAACAAACAAGCAAAAAAAAAATCTTTGATACAAAAACAATATCATTAACGCTGAAGTTTTCCACGGAGTATATCGAAGCTCAAAACAGTATTTGTGGCTATCGTGCTGCCACTGAATGTTGTGCTCAGCGGAAAGCTGAACAAGTAAGTTTCAACTACAAACAAAGAAGAAAGTTTGAGGTGAAGAGCACTTTTAGAAGGGTTGTTTGTTTGTTTTAGAGCATAGCCACATTGGGCTATCTGCGGGCAATCGAACCATGGATTTTTGCGTTGTAAGTCTGTAAACTTACCGCTGTCCCACCAGGGGACTCTTTAGAGTTTAGAAGGACTAGTCTTCAGTGACAACCTGCAGTAAACATTTATTTTAAAATCTTTCTCACTGCCAGTTGCTCTCTCAGCCACTAGGAACAACTTGTATAAAATTTGTTATAGAACAATACGAAATAAACACATGGATGTAATGAATTAGTGAAATATTTTGATGTGTCCGATAAATAGTTTATTGATTAACGTCTATCCTTATTAAAGGGCATAAAATTTTACAATATATGTTGGGAAGTACTAAGATGAGATATTTTTGGAAACAGTTTGGAGGTTGTTGCAGCTTGGTTAGTATTAAATAACGGGTAGACTTTAACATACCTGTTACCGTCAAATTCGTTATCTGTCGTTGTTCTCCAACTCCATTACTAGCAATGCAGACATACGTTCCAGAGTCTTTAACGTTGGCATGATAAAACACTAGAGTACCGTCTACCTGGTCAATAGGTTCACGCACTATTGTCGTCATTCTGCCATTGTTCATTCGATACCAGGAATAGCGTGGAATTGGATAGCCCTTGGCTAAGCATGGGAGGTAAGCAGTGCTACCTCTGATAACCGAAATAACCTTGTTGAAGTGAACAAACCTGGGTTGAAAATGACTGTGCGGCTCTGAAATAATCGATTAAAATATACATATATATATATTGTATATACACTACAACTTTATTAGGAGATTATTGATCTCAAGCTATAGCCTAATGATAAAATGAAAGTTTTTTTAAACAAGTAATATGTTTATATATGAGAAAACAGCAAAAACACACGCTAAGCCTCAGCTTATAATGACCGACTTCTATCTCTCTCTACACGTATGATTCTATTACTCGATATTTGAACTTACAGCTATTTGAGAAGCTTTCTAAACTAATGAGAGGTATTGTAGTACAGAAAGCTCCTGGAGAAGCAAAGTAAACAAGAGATAAGGGTTGCGTATTCATTATTTTATGAACCATGTCTTCTTAAACGCCAGATAACATTTTACGAAACATTAAACTACAAAACTAAGCTGTAGCTGTGGAGAAAACAACGGAAATAACTATTGTTTCAAGGACGATCATATAACTTCTTAGGAAAAAATAATGCGTTTCATTTGTCTGTTTATTTCAGTATTTAATGTTAAAATTACAAAAGATAATACGCGTTAACCTTACTTAATTCTAAACTCTTACATAAGATGAAAGGCAACGAGTCATCAGCACCCACCGCCAAATCTTGGACTATTCTTGTCCATCTGTCACCCTTAGAGCGCAGCAATAGCTCCTTAAATACGGACTATGTTTTTCTGGGAACGAGTCATCAGTCCTTGGATTCACAATCTGAGCTACATGATTCCACTGTCATCAAAGTGTATGGAGGGTTAATAACACTTTAAAAGTATGATTTGTAAGTTTTAGTGAAGTGAAGTGTTACCGTCGATGCGAGCCATTTCGCCACGATCTACATGTTTAACACCTATATGTAAGGTTTTTGTATAGGCCTGATACTTTACAGTAGGTGTCTGTGACTTGTTGGCGATAAATTTCAACAATAAACAAACTGCAATACAGTCCACTTGTTCTAAAATAATATATTAAAACAAGTCAAATGTATATACAAATGTTCGTTGCCTGATGTTTTTTTTTGTCAGAGTTCACACGGGCTGGTTCAGTTACCTTATAACACAATTTGACAAGACGAATTATTCTTCTCTGCTCAGTCTGTAATAATTTTACTTTAAAAATCACCACTATACGCTATTTATTGCTAAACTCACAATCATGCAGTTAGATCTATCTTTCAAACTAAATTTTCGACGCATATTTATATCTTGACAGAGGTCTAGAACATTCCACACACTACTAGATATTATGATGCAATAATACTTAATTAAAACAACGAGAAAAACTCAGAAGGTTCTAATAACATGATCCAGTAATATAACAACTACCAATTCATAACTATTGAACTACACAACGTGTAATTCGTGAACAGTTATGTAAGTAAATTTGCGATCAACCACCTCACATTAAACTGAAACATGTATATCTAACAATAAGCCCCTCTTCAAGAAAACTATTTACAATATTTTTTATACTACATACAAAGACTATTTTCATTTCATGTACAAAGTCTAATCACACAGTCTACACCAACATATGCAGTTTCCTTGATGGCCTCAATATTGAATCGGTAACACTGGAGTTACAGCACCCACCTCATAATCCTCACACTGCCGATTTTGCATTTCTGGATGTAAGCAAGGGGCTGATGGTCCATTTATATAATGAAATCCTTCCCGTAGAGATAGTTCTGGAATTTTTGGATAGCAAATATGATGGCCAGACATTCTCATTCAATCACAGAGTAGCTCTTCTTTACTAATGTACATTACAGGAAACAGTCCGTCTATGTGTTCTTGCAGAAGTACTGCTCCAATTCCAATGTCTAATGCATCGGCTTGAATGATGAATGTTTTCTTGAAGTCTGGAATTCTAAGAAGTGGCGGACTTCCTAACACGTTCTTCCACTTCTGGAATGCCATCTGCAGTGGTTGTTTCCACTTCACCTTGTTGGGTTGGCCTTTCTTGGTTAGCTCAGTTAGTGATACAGTGATTTCAGTGTAGTTTGGGATGAACTTCCTATAGTATCCCGCTAATCCAGGAAGGATCTGACTTGCTGCTTAGTCGTCAGAGCTCGTGCATCTTGTATCTGGGTTAGCTTCTCCTCTTCATGGCTATCTGTTGGTTGCCTACCCCGTGTCCAACAAAGTCCAACACAGAATAACCAATATAGCACTTAGATGGTCTCATGGCCAGACATGCTGCCTCACTCACCTGAACAGCTCTCTGCGTTTCTTCAGGTGGTCTTTTCATATGGCTGTGTGGGTCAGAATGTCGTCCACATAATGCTAGATGTTGGTGGTTTGGTGCAACATCTTCCTTATCATGCAGCTGAAGATTGCTGCTGAGTTGACTTTCTTTTAGTTGTCAGTCAGTTCTTCACTGAAGTTGATGTCTTTGTACTTCACATCTCCACCCAGCAGTCTTAGGTCTAATAGTTCTTCATCTGCTATTACAAATTCACTATCATCTGGTTCTATGTCTATGACAGCCACACCTGAAATGTCCATATGTGTTCTACCCTCTGAACTACTTCTTCAACCGGCTGAAATGGTAGATCTTGGTCTTCCCATACACTTTCAATTTATAGTCCATTTTGTTGACCACTTCCTGCACTTCAAAAGGTTCTTTCCACAGCAGAGCGAGATTGTTGTTGTCTGTGGGTAGCAGAACCATGACCTTCTGTCAGGCCTAGAAACGTCAATCCTTGGCCTTCTTGTCATAGAAGTGCTTCTGACTGCCTTAAGTAGCAAACAAACTTTCTCAAGTGAGTTGTCAGGTCTCCTCCAGTCGATTTCTGAGGTCTAACACATACTGGTATGTGTTCATCACTTCTGACTCTTCTTCTCCTGTACACAGTTTTTCAATATCTGTTTCAGACCTCATACTGTTCCTGTGTACAGCAACTCAAAGGGTAAAAATCCTGTACTTGCTTGTGGGACTTCTTGGTAAGTAAATAATACTGCCTGCAGGTACCTGTCCCAGTCATGTGGTCTCTCCTGGCACATTTTCTTTAGCATACTCTTAAAACTCCATTGACTCTCTCACAAAGTCCGTTACATCTTGGGTTGTAAAGAGTGGTAAAGAGCTACTTCGAGCTGATGGGTCTGTACAGTTCTCACATCAATTCTGAGGTAAACTGGGTCCTTCTGTCACTTAAGACTTCTTATGGAAAGCATACTCTACTGAACACTTCCAGGAGGGCTTCTGCTACTCTCTCCGTATCTATCTTGGGTGGTTCTGTGGCTTCTGGGTAACATATCACCCAGTCAACTACTGTCAGCACATACCAGATGCCCTTGTTGGATACAGATGCTAGTGGTCTTATCAAGTTTACAGCTACTCCGCTGAATGGCTCTTCTATGAGAGGCATTATCACTTCGTGGCACTTTGGCTACTCTTCCTTTAGGTCCTGTCCTTTAGCTGATGTCACATTACCTACAGAATCTTGTAACATCTCATATGATCCCTGGCCAATAAAAGTTGCTGGTGATTTTGTCTGTCATCTTTTTTTCCATTAGCTATCCTTCCACTATTGACACTGAGCCAACTTCATCACTTGAGTCTGGTATTCTGTTGGTATTATGATCTGTTCAATTCACCCAGTACAGTTACCTTGATAGATCAGGTACAGCACTCCTCTATTCTGTAAGTCCTTTTACCCTTTGTCCTGTCCTCGACTTTCTTTCGGGCACTGTTCCAAAGTTTCTGCAGTGAAGGGTCTTTCTTATGCGCTTCCTTCAGTTCCCAAAGACCTACATTCGGGATGTCACCTTTCGAGACGTGCAGGGGCCTGATGTCTTGCTTGCTTTTCTTTACTTGAGCTCTTTTGGTGACTGCAGATGCCCCATCAGTCTTCTTTCTGTATGGTTCTTCCAAACTTCTACTGCCTGGTATATCGCCAATCACCAAATCATAGATAGGTGCCTTCATACATATGGCCTCAAGGTTTCCCACATAGTATGGGATGTCCACCTTTATTCTTGCCATGGGAAACTTTCTCACTGTTTCATCAATCAGCACACACAGATGTGTCCATTAACTGGTCATCAGATGCTAGACTGCTTCTTACTGCCGTACTGAGTTTCTTATAGGACTTTCACTTTTTTAACTGTCATAGCCTTCACCTACTGACATGTTGTGGTTTGTTGGCATCTCTCGATGTTTGTTACGTGCTCCAATTACTAATGGCACTGTTGTCCCATTTGTTAGCTTGATCTTACCATCAATCCTACACTGTTAAATAATGATGATAGCACTTCCTTCTCATGGTGAAGCTAATGAGTTGTCTTTATTCTCTTTCTTCTGGTAGCAGCATCCATGGTGACAATCACCCTTTTCTTGTTTCATGCCAGCATCATTTGTGTAGGTAGCTCCAGCTACTTTATGTTTAGATTTCTGCTGTTACTTGTTGACTTGCACTCACTCACAATGAGCCCCATTGATTTCTTGTCACCTTTGGCGGCATCATGTTTCTGGACAGCCACTTCTGGTTTCGACTTTAACTGGTTATTCTTGGACTTGCCAGTTATACACCCTCCACGAGTTTCCATATACTACTCTGGTAACTTGATAATCTCGCCCATGCCAAAACTGAAATGCAGTTTCTCCAGTGTCAGGTTTAACATCTCTGAACTTCTGGTAAAAACCTTCCTCAGTAAGTTCATAGCATTTCCATCAAGAACATTTTTTATTTGTCATAGTCTATGTCATCTTTTGATGTCACTTGTTAGCCTTTTTCTGTGAGAAGGGAGCTGAAACAGACTGCCCAGTTGCCCTTGTCCCAGTTCTGACTATGGGCGAATCTTTCATACCTCACCAAGAAAGTGTTCATGTCATCTTTCTGTTCATCAAATTTGGGCAGCTTGGATCAGCTGGCCTTGACCCATTGTCATTCTTGTGTCATCCACCTTTCTGCTTGGTGAGCTTAGCGATCTCAGTTTGTGATTTTATTCTCTCTATTTCCAGTCTCTTCTCCCTTTCCTTTTTTCTTTCTCTTCTTCTCTTCAC